AATTAAGTAGCAGAGTATTTATTGTCTAAAGCAAGGGGTACAGTTCGCTGGGATGCATGAATCAGGTGTGTGGCCTTGAGGGTTGTTCCCTAAAACTTTCAGTCTACAGGCTATGTTCAAACTTCAGCTAATCGCACCTCAGTCTGACATTTCCCACTTCATTTCCACAAAATGGAGAGTATTATTAAAGAGTGGGACAAAGTTATTAGCAAAACAAAAGGTTATTTCAGGCATCTGTCCAGGGTGAGGGTGGTGGGGAGGAGTTGGAAACAGTTGAAAGTGCAATGAGATTAAATATTAAGTCTGGGTGGGGGCCCAGTATGAACAACTGCATTTGGGGGCCTGTTGTTTTTTTGTTTGTTTGTTTCTTTCTTTTTTTAACACCGTCAACATAAATACTTCAGATAAATGCCTGGCAAGGAAGTGACTAGTAAGGAAATCAGTTCAGAGTGTGGGTGACTGAACCAAATCACTGCCGGTACTTGAAAAAATGTAGAAGGCATACCGAGTGTAATTAATCTAGAATTGTCCTAAGTGTAAGGTGTTTTGAGAGACTGACAGATGAGTTGTTGGTGTATTTCAAATACAATGCTGGAGTCTACTTATGGACTTTGATTGTGCAAGGAAGCAAAAATCTGTAACCCTGAAGACTGGGTGGAAGTTGCTTTTGAAAAGTACATTTACAGAGGCCTCCCTAGTGACGCAAGGAGTTAAGCCTCAGCACTATGAAGCAATCTGCAGTCACTGCTGCAGCCCAGCAGACCTGTCCTGTTTTGCCCGCTGCTCCCCTCAGCAGTGTATTTCAGTGGATCCACCTGTTCTGCTCCCCATTCTGTCCCTGGTGAATCCTATCACACACACCCTCCCACACCTCTGGCCTACACCCCAGCTCTTGTATGCATAAATAAATAAAAATAAATCTTTTTTTAAAAAAAAAAAAAAAAGAATACATTTGCAAAGAAACATCTTTCTGTAAGATTTTGTCCCAGGAAGACAGTCTCCTTATCTCTTTTTAATGTAGAAGGCAAAACTGAAATCTACAAACCTCTAGTTACTGTGTTTTCTTTGGTAAACTTAACGAATCTTCCCCTTTCTTCCCATCAACCCTCCTTATCTTAGCTAAGTTATTTGAGATTACATCTGAAAATAGGTGGCAGTTACTCAGTTTTGCATGTATCTGGTTATTTATTATACTAAACTACTTTATTTTTTCTTATCAGCCTGTCCCAGAGAGGTATAGAATGATTTCCTATGCCCCAACAATTGACTGACTACATTGAAAATTGTAAATATATACAATTTAAAGATATCTGTATAGACTTTTTTCTTATTTATTAACAGAAATCAACTTGATTTCATGAAATTGTTATTTATGAGTGTGTTTCTCTTCATGCACCACCTGTAAGAAAATAGACACCAAAGTACTTTGAGCCCTTGCTGCTAAACAAATATTGAAGCATTGTGTGTGAGGACAGAAATACTACAATTGATAAGACCACTTGGCAATTTCCACGCTCTCAGAAAAATGGAACACTGTATTGAAACACTGTATTTTTTTTTTAAAGGACAGTAGAAACACTCATACTATAATCTCTTAGTCTTTTAGTTGCTCACTTTAAACACCAATCTCTTTTTTTTTTTTTATAGAGGCATTTTATTTATTTATTTATTTGTTTGTTTGTTTGCCTGTTTTGTTCACACATGCACTGGGTACAGTCAGAAGCGCAGGAGGGTGAGAGAATTCACCAGAGCCAGAGCAGGGAGCAGAGCAGGCAGAAGGACCCAAGTACACTGCTCAGGGCAGCAGCGGGCGGCAGGAGAGGTCTGCGCACCGTTTGGGACCCTCCTCCGGTGGCCGGGGAGCAGCCGGAGATCGAACCGGCGACTCAGAGGCTGCGGGCAGCTTTGCAACCCAGTGCTCAACCGCTGTGCCACCAGGGAGGCCCAAGAAACACTGTATTTTAAAAAAGAAAAAAAAAAAAGAATACATTTACAGAGAAACATCTTTCTGTAAGATTTTGTCCCAGGAAGACAGTCTCCTTATCTCTTTTTAATATAGAAGGCAAAACTGAAATCTACAAACCTCTAGTTACTGTACCTTGTAATGACAACTGAATAAAGTTTGTGTGTGTTAGGAGCTGGGGAGAACATGAGAAGACAGAATATCACCTTTTACGCTGATCACCTTCAGTTCAGACGCTAGGATTCCACGAATACCTTATATGCCTTATGTCTCAAACTCCCTTTGTTAGAGAATGCCATCTATACCTTTGCTCCAGTTATTATTGTGAGTTGAAAATATATCTAGGCCTTCTATCCTACCAACAAACTGATGAAGAAATTCATGTAATAAAAGGGAAAACCTAAGACATTCAGATTCTGGGAGTTTCACAAATATTAACTTCTCACAAAAGAAAAAAAGAGGGGTGGTAGGGGGTGGTATCTGAACTTAGAGCCAAGCCCAAAGCCAAGCTTATTTATTTCTGATTAATGTCTTCTGTTAATGGTCCCACTAGTCCCACCTTTACTATGTGAATGGTTACAGGATTGTGTTGGTAGAAAAATATTGTGTAATGTGTCCCTAGTAAGCAATTCTAGTAACTCATTACTGTAATGACTTTTACCATCCTAAGAAATCACATCACCAGTTTCTAGGCCTGTGGTATAGTACTGAAAAATGTTCAACAAAGAGGAAGAAAGGCCCTCATTTGCATGTCTGAGTAAACACTCCTACTCAGTGAATTTCAAGCTACCCAGAATTAAGTGACTGAACTTGGAATTTGAGGTTATATGCATCCAGTATTCCCACCATACAAATCAAGAGGCAAAATAACCTTGGGCACAAATAATAGTAAAATCATTGAGATGTTACTTTCTAGTAGTTATGTGTTTTTAATACACTTTAAGTTTACATAATGTAAATTTTGATAATGGCAGTAGCGAAGAATTGACTTGTCAAGCTGAAATTTTAACAATCTGCTCCCAGGAGCCCATAGAGCCAGTCCCAGCACACCACTGACCCCCCTCACTTTTTTGTTGAGAGGAATTTAAGACAACTTCAAACTTTGAAACTCTTAGTGAAAGAGAAGTCCCTGACAATGGTAAGACCTCATCTATATATTTTTTTATTATTCACAACAGATTAAGAAACAGAAGCAATTGAAAACTCCGTACCAGGGGATGTGCATTCAGAACTTAGAGCTCAAGTCTGTCCCCAAGGCTGGAGATGAACACTCATCCTTCAAGGGTTCCCATTGCAACAGGGTGGTCCCCAGGAAAGGGGGAGGTTCCAGGTTTCCTGCCCCACCCAAAAGGAAGGTGGAGCTGAGCAGAAAGAGAAGAAGCTGCAGAGACTGGGGAAGGAAGGAAGCAGGATGGTGAGCCAGAAGGAGACGTAGAGGAGGCACATGGAGCCAAGAGACACGTGAGGAACTACACTTGCCTTTTGGTCGTGGACTGGGTGACAGAGATGTGGGTGAGAGACCCATGGGGAGGTGACAATGGCGGCTTTTGTCTTGATTTTGCTCTTTTCCTTCCAGACTTGTTTGGTTGTTTCTGATCCTTTTCTGTGGGTCCCCACTGGAAGATACTTTAGACGTGGGCAGGCTTTGGGGCCTTGCTCTGGGCCAATCCCATTTGGATGGACTTTTACCCACGAGGGGACGGGTTACTTTGAGTGCTTGCTTTAGAAACTATATTCTTTGCCTTTCCTGTATTGTTTCCTAATCGTATTAAAGTTCCTTCCCATTAAAGTCTCATATATTTTGTGTTGATGCAGCGGATGGCAGAACCTATTTAGAGCAGGCAGGTTTGTGGGGTCTGGGGTGCCCCTCTCCCTGCCCTGTAACACTATGGCTTCTATTTCTATTTGAAAAAGAATCGCTTCAGACTTGTATCTCTACCAGGAACCAGAAAGTGGGGGGAAGGGAAAAATGAGGGGGGGGAGAGGGGTGATAGAAGAGACAGAGAAAGGAGCACCTCAAGCAGTTAAAGGTATAAACGCCCTTTGCACCCAAAAGGCTCTAAATCAACACTAGCAACACGATCCCAGTGTTTAGGGGAAAAGGATGTCCTAAAGCTAATTCCATACAGGCTTTGTGGACTCCACCCCCACCCCAGGCCAAAGACACCGGGAGCTCCAAATTCCATCACCACGAAAGGGAGGGTTGCTGGGACCCCAGGGTGGGGTTAAGCAGCCAGGTTGGTATAAAGCCAGGCACGTGAGCCTTTGTGGGGGTGTCCCACTGTTTGGCTCTCCCGCAGTTCGGCGCATCTGGCCAGCTCTGAGAGTGCTTTTTGGGCTTCCAGGTCGTCGGATCGGTAGGACGCATTAAAGATTTTATTTCCCAATTTTCTCCCTGAGTTGTACATTTTCCTTATTTCCTTTTCCCTTGTAATAAACCTTTTATTAACCTTTGTGTGTGCCTGTAGTGGAGTATTCATAAGTCCCTTTTAAGCGCGCGGGTGAGGACCCACAGCCAGGAACCCGTTCAATATTGGGGCTGCCCTAAAACACCAGGAACTTGCCCGGGGCTTATAAGAAAACATTTTATTGTTCCCCTTCGTCGTGAGGGCGAGAGAACCACTTGGACACAAAGAGCACGGGCTTCGGCACGGAGAAGACGACGGGAAGCAAGCAAAGCCGCCACTCGCGGAGCGGAGATCCGGGGCTCCTGGCAGCCCCCGCCGCGGAACTCCGAGCTCGTCGCTCCGCCTGACGCGGCCACTGGGACCTTCAGCCAAAGGTCGGGGCTGTCCCGGAAGTGACCCCGGCGCCCGCGGAGGTCAGAGTCTTCCGACCCGGCGCCTAGCTCGGCCTTCCAGGCCCAGACTCCGCCCCCGATAGGCTCCGCCCCTCTACCGGGCAGTCAAAAGGCTGAGCGGGCGCCGGGCGGGGTGTCAGCGTCTGGCGGGCGCCCGGAGCCTCTGGAGCCCGGATGCTGAGCTACGCCGCGCGCTTCCGCGCCCTTGGCGCCCTGCGCGGGCTGCCGGGGGCCGCGCGCAGGCTGGCGGGTGACCCACGACCCGCGCAGGTGAGTCCGGGGGCCGCGGGAGCGGACCTGGAGCCAGACTCCGTCGGGGACTTGCCTACTAGGACGGATTGACTGGCCCCAGAATATGGGCTAGCATCCTTGCCGAGGGCACCAGTGTTCACAGGGTCACAGGCTCTTTTAGTCCTGAGGGTCAACCTTGCGAAATGGGACAGGGGGTGATGGCGCAGGTGGAGGAACACCACCTGTACGGGTATTAGTGCGGAAAGGTGGCGGTTCAAGCAAGGTCACGCAGAGCCGTGGAGAGCTGGGACCTGAACCCAGGCGGTCGGGCTGGCCAGCATTGCTCCCTGGGAGAGTGCTGTCACTTTCATGGCTTAATCCTAATTGTTCTCTGCTCTTCAGATAATCCTACCCTCTCTAAACCAATGTTTCCCCACCCCGCCCTTAAAGGTTGTTACAATTTTTTAATTTACTTTCTTACATCATTGTTCATTTTTGTACATTTGCTTTCTCCCCTCACTTGTAGTACCCTTAGTTCTCCCACCACCCTAGCATCCGTGACCTAGGATGCTATAATTTAAATGAGATAACTCAAGTGAAGTGTTTAGCACCAATGCCTGCCGTTAGTATTAAGTAAATTATTTCCTGTTCTTTTGTCCCTGTGTTTTGCTTCATGGATGTATCGATTAATGTTAATTAAGCACCAACAATATGCCAGATATTGGTCACTGATGATGACAATAAAGATTAATAAGAAACAACCCTTTCTCTCAGGGAGTTCAGTGTCTAGCAATGACATTGCTAAATGAAAGAACATGTGCACTATGTACTGTAATAAAGTACTGAGGGAATATGAAAGTGGGAACAGTTGTAGCAAGCAAGAATAGCAAGAGCTATTGTTGCTTTCACTTAAAGAATGAGTGCAGATTGGTTATTAATCCTGTATCACCTTGCACTTTGGAAAAGAAAATGGTATATGCTGATCTCACAACAAAGAGAATTTTGTTACTTTAATTATATGTTGGTGCCTTGTAATCTATGTTGAGGATATTTAATAGTAGTATTTACAGGCTTTATAAATCATGCTCCTTCCCGTTTAGTAACTTAATCTTAAATAGGAGACACATAAAAAGTCATAACTTTACTTAATAAATCCCATGTGACAAGGCTATAACCAAAGATCAAGCAAGACCTTTTCTCTAATCAGGGCAGTAAAAGGTAATGATCATTCCTAATATTTATCCCTCAATTACATAGGCTATGTCATGTATTTAAAGTACCTTTACTTCAAATATCTTTAGTTCTTATCTCCTTGCACTGAAACTTTAATTATTTGTATTTCTCAAAACATTGTAGTGTTCATCTAGAATCTTGATTGAGTATGCCCCAAACTAAAATTAAATAGTTCCCTCTGCCTCCTAAAATGCACAGGAATGCTAAGAAAAAACTCTTCTTTCTTTTCCTTCTATCCATTTCCAATCTTCAGAGCCCTGACTGGAATTATCCAAGACTTTCTCTACCCCTTCAGTCACTCTCTACATACCTTGGTCCCTGTCCCCTTAATATTTCTTCAATATTTTGTTTTTATTCTTCTCTACTTAGTTCAAGTTCGGAAGATTTCTCACCTAGATCTTTGCCACAGTGTTTTAACTGATTTCCCCACCAGTATTTTAACTGATTTCCCCACCATTGCTTCTCATCCTTTACCTCTGAGCCAGCTTTCTAAACCTTAAGTTTATATTTCTGCTTTGCTTAAAACTCCCTAAGACTCCACCTAACAGAAAAAGTAACTGCTCAAGTTACTTTTAATGAACTTTCAAAGACTCCCTTTCTTTAATGAATTGTTTCCTAAGTAATAACATTTGTGAAGTTATAAGTGTGATGTGCTATTTATGACCTTTATAATATGCACTTAAAAATACATATTCTGTTCTTGTGCCATCGAAAAATCATCTTTCTTATTGACCTTGGAAACATTGACCTAGGAGAACCTTGTGGTAAGGTCAAAGAGCCTCTCCAGTGTGATTCTCATCCCCTTTCTACTTTGCCATCCACATCTTGCTGCTATTTCCTTTGTATCTTACATCCACGAGAACTGAAATCCTAACGGTTCTCCAACATACATTATGTGTGATTCATCTCTCCATGCCCTCACATGGAGCAGCCTTACCCTTCTCTCCTTAGTTAACTCTTCATCCTGCAAAGATCATTCCACCAGTCCTCATCTTTTTGAAGCGTTCTTTGAAAGTCGCTCCTGTGTCTGATGTAGCATTTTTACACTAAAGACTGTAAGCACTTGAGGATAGGACTAAGTCTTCTTTCTGTATTAAGTATTCCTGTCACAGAATCAGGGCATACAGTAGGACACAAAAAAGTTTGTTTTATTTAAATCTCAGATTTTTTTAAATTACATCATTTTTTATTGAGGTAACATCGGCTTACAACACTCTATATGATTTAGGGGGTATAGGTTCATACCTCTTAAAATGTATGCTACCTTACCGTACCCATCAACTAACCCATAATCCTCCACAGTATTCCACTGGATCCCTTCTACCTTGTTCCTCAACCCCAACCCCCACTGCAATTCTGGTAACCTCAATTGTGCAGTGAGATTTCAAGGATTTGTTTTGGTTTAGCTTTGTTCCTTTGTTTTGTTTCTTTCTATTCCATGTGAATAAAATCATCTGATATATGTCTTTCTCCTTCTGATTATTTCACTGTTGCTTGCATAATCCCCTCCAGTTCCAGCTATCTTTTCACAAATACCAAGATTTCATTTATTCTTAAAGCTGCGTAGCATTCCATTGTGTATATATAACACACATTCTTAATCCATTCATCTGTTATTAAGCACTTAGGTTGTTGCTGTATCTTGTAATTGTATTGTAAATAGGACTGCAGTGAACATAGGAGTGCCTATATCACTTTGAGTTAATGTTTTCATATTCTTGGGATAGATACCTAGGAGTGAAATTGCTAAATCATATGGTACATCTATTTTTAATATTTTGAGAAACCTCCATGCTATTTTTAACAGGGGCTGGACCAGTTTACCTTCCCACCAACAATGTATGAGGGTTTCTTTTTCTCTGCATCCCTCACTGACACCTTTTCATTCTGTCCCTTTGATTTAGGCCATTCTCACAGAAAAGAGGTATCTCATTGTGATTTTGATTTGTGTTTCCCTAATGAGTGACAATGAGCATTCTTTCATGTGCCCATTAGTCATCTGTATGTTAATCTCAGACTTGCAAAGTTAAAATCAGGTAGGAGAGTCCACCATCCCAGGAGTCATTCTAATACTTAAAGTTCTTTTTTTATCTATTGCACTGTTCCCCAGAAAATTGCTGTAACAGATCAGACCTAGAGTTGCTTATTTAACATGAGACCTATGGATGAGATGAGCCCAAATTCATAACTCTAAAGCCTACACATCCTATTCTCCCTCTCAACTGACACCTATTAGTCAGTACATATTAATTTGTGACTAATTGTGTCTGTGAAGTTACTTTCAGAATTCATGTACTTTAAAAGTTACATGATTAAGACTGGATTCTAAGGAAAAGATTGAAAATAGGAAAGAGGCCTTTTTTCTAATGTTCTAATGGACATTTTCATTTCAAACAGAAAAAGTTTGGAAATAATTTTAATGTCCAACTTAAATGATTAGCTAAATTATAGTACATCATTTTAAAGGACTATTTTTTTGCCACTGAAATTAGTGAATGTTGCATCGTGCAACACAACACTGATAAAAAAAATGGGAGTCATGGAGCAGGCTACATAATGCAGGATGCTGCTGAAGAGCAAGATCTTGTCCGTTTTTATTGATGGAATAATCATACAGCAGCATCAGTTACGTGGGTTAGGAGGGCAAGGAGAAAAGGATGGGTGAAAGTAAGGAATTTCATCTAGGGCTTCGGAGGGACATGAGTCTGCTGACAGATAATTCTTATCTGCTTGATGATCAAGTGTTGTAATCAAAAGCAGACCCCAGACCCCCCGGCCATGGTCCTAATCTTATCAACAAGGCGTTCCACTGATCATCTTCTGGGGTCCCTTGTCATACATACATTGGTCCTCAGCCCCCCGGGCATTCCTGGTCATACCTCATGATGTATAAATTGGGAGTAAGTTATTGCATCCATCGTCACCCCCTTCCCCCACCCCGGGCATTCCTGGTCATACCTGTTGATGCATACCCTTCCTAGAGTGATCAAGCTTTCTGCTTTTGATTGATTTGAAAAGTACCTTGTAAATTTTGGCTCCTGTGACTGATTGACAGGGCAGTTCTGACCTTGTATGGAAATGCTGAACTGCAGGTAACAGTAATGATGGCCCGACAGGCTGCTTAAGTTTAGCAGACCCACAAGTGAAATTGAGATTAAGGACATGAGGAAGTGAACACTAAATATTATTAATACAATAAAATTATACTAAAAATGTATTTTCGTTACTGAGATTACAGTTACATTAAGAAAAGTTACATTTAAAAAAACTTGAAGAAAATACATCAGAATTTTTTCTTTTGGTTGTAAGCTGGAAAGATAATAGTTGGGTCTTTTAAGATTGTTTTTCTCTTCTTTCTTTCCCAAAATTTTTGAACTGGGTTCTGAAGAAATGAGCCAGTCGAAAACCATAAAGAAAAAACAGAGGTACAAATCCTAGGCGAGGGAGTGGAGTGATCTCTATCCTGCTCATGTTTCCACTCACAAAGTCAATATTCCCTCTTGTTTGGCCAAGAAATTATTAGTTTCATTGAGTTCTTTTTTTTTTTTAAGATTTATTTATTTATTTATACAAGCACTGGGTACAATCAGAAGTGCAGGAGGGAGACAGAATTCACCAGAGCCAGAGCGGGGAGCAGAGCAGGCAGAAAGACCGAAGTACACTGCTGAGGGGAGCAGCGGGCGGCAGGAGAGGGCTGCACGCCATTTGGGACCCTCCTCCTGTGGCCGGGGAGCAGCCGGGGATTGAACCGGCGCGGCAGAGGCTGCGGGCAGCTTCACAACCCAGCGCTCAACCTTTGCGCCACCGGGGAGGCCCTTTCATAGAGTTCTTGAGTCAGGCTCTCCATGTTCTTACCATCAGGCTAAGATCAGAGCCAGCTCTTTCATCACAGTAAACATAGCCTCCCTTATTTTGACTTTGGGGTACAGTCCAAGCATTGTAGGTACACTAAATCCAAATGAATTGATTTGATGGCCAGAAGTGGAATGATAGCTTCTATGGCCTTAATGTTTAAAGATTTCCCTGGAAGTTAAAAGAATGGATTTTCCTTTCTGGTGCCTGTGAGCATTCACTTTGCCCTGCTCCTTAGTAGGTCACACTTTATTCCCCAAGTCCTCAGTGGCCCCTGTACCATGTCACTTGGCTGCCGGCACTAGAGAAGTAAGCAGTATGTAGTGCTACAGAGAAAAGCATGGATAGAGCCATTGTTACTATAAGTTATACTATAAGTTCTATTTATACCATAAGTTATACTATACTATGACGTGAAGCACTTGTTCCCCCAACCTCGTTCTCTTCTTTTTTTATATATTTATTTTTTGCATAGAAAAAGTGAGGTGTAGGCCAGAGGTGCAGGTGGCAAGAGGATTCACCAGAGACAGAGTGGGGAGCAGAACAGGTAAACTGACTGAAATACACTGTTTTTGTTTTTGGTTTTTTTGTTTGTTTGTTTGTTTTTAAATTCTTGCCATTGTGGAGCTTACATTCTTTTTTTCTTTTTTTAAAGATTTATTTATTTATTTATACAAGCACTGGTACAGTCAGAAGCGCGGGAGGGTGAGAGAATTCACCAGAGCCAGAGTGGGGAACAGAACAGGCTGAGGTACGCGGCAGGAGAGGTCTGCGCGCCATGTGGGACCCTCGCCGGTGGCCGGGGTTCAAACCGGCGCTTCAGAGGCTACGGGAAGCTTCGCAGCCCAGCGCTCAACCACTGCGCCACCAGGGGAGACCCCTGAAATACACTGTTAAGGGGAGCAGTGGATGAGACCGGAGAGGTCTGCTGTGCAGTATGTGGGTAGCTCCCTGGTGGGGGATAAAACTCAGGCAGCAGCAGTAAAAGTGCTGAGACATAACCCCTAGGTTAAGTCCCCTAGGAGGCCCCTATTCTTCATGTTCTCTTTCTTGACATTTGCCTCTGTCGTACATTCTGTTGCACAATTCCCAAACCTGGGATTGGTTCTTTTGTATTTTCCTCTTCCCTTACTCTCCTTTACCAAATAATCACAAGTTCTCCTTATATGCTCATAACTTTCACATGGGTTACCCCATTAGCCTCCAGACATGGCCCTCTGATTCCAATCTTGGTTACTCCCAGTATCTTTCATGTTATGGCCAGATCTGATAGCACTCCCCTGTTTAAATCCCTCTGAGAGCTCTGTAGATACAACTCAGCAGTTAGCCTAGTGTGGAGGCTTCTCATAGTCACCCTTGCCTACATCTCTGCAGCCATCTGCTCTTCTCATTGCACCAAAATAATGTCAAACTTCTTTTAGGCCTTAGTTTCATTATCTATAAAATGTGGATAATAATTAATCCCTCAAAACTGTTTCATGCATCCTTGCTTTGCACTTAGTGTTCCTTTGCCTACAATACTCTTTCTTTTTAGTGTTCTGTTTTTCTGCTTCCTAGCTTAGTGTTGCTTGTGCCTAGGGCCAATACTCTTTCTAGCTGGCTACTTTCTGCTTGTCTAATCAAAATTCCAGTCAAAAGGGCTCCTCCTTGAATCCCCAGTCTGAGATGCATACCTCTCCCTTATGCTCTGACTTCCCCAGTGGCAGCACTTTCTTTACATGGAGGAAAATGTCTGTCCTTCATCCCTCTTTATCTCCAGTGCCTGGCTCACCTGTGCTTGTTTAAAGTTTGAAAAAGGAAGGGTGTCTGCAGACCTGGTCTTAATGCCATCTCTACCAATAGCTAGTAGGGTGACAGCAAGGGTATCATTCCCTCTTTCAGTCTCCCATTTCTCCCAAGGAGGTTGAACCAGTGACCCTTGAAATTTGCTTCCTCTCTGAAAAGACAAGCTCTGGGAACAGGAAAAGTAGCAAGAATGATCAGAAAATAGGAGAATATGTGATGCAATAGGATACGCCTTCTATTACTCTTCTTTTTCTCCTCTCTATCTTTTAGAGGTCATTTTCTTCTGAGAAAGTCACTCTTAAGGATCGTTCTCTCCCCAACCCCAGCTGGAGCAAGGACATAAGACTCCTCTTTGATCACTTCATGAAGAAATGTGAAGATGGCTCCTGGGAATATTTGCCATTTTATACTTCTAAATCTTCTCACAAGAGTCAAGACTTGAAAACCAGGTGTCCTGGTAGGAACAGCTACTCTCCCATAAAGACTATTTAAATATCCCATAGAAAACTAAGAACAGGGGGCTCCCCAGGGGTGGAAGGGGTTAAGTCTCAGTACTGTGAAGCTATTGGCAGTCACTGCAGCATGAGTTCAATCTTTGGCCAGGGAACTACCCACATGGTGCAGCAGACCTCTCCTGTCTCACCTGCTGCTCCCCTCAGCAGTGTATTTCAGTAGATCTGCCTGTTCTGCTCCCCACTCTGTCTCTGGTGAATCCTCTCACCCCTCCCTGCCCCCATACCTCTGGCCTACACCCCAGCTCTTGTATGCATAAATAAATAAAATAAATCTTTAAAGAAAAAAAAAGAAAACTAAGAACAGATTAAAGCAATAGTTACCACTTAAAGGAAGGCGGATGGGGCAGAGGTTTGGTAAAGTCTCCAGTTTTGTAGGCCATAAATCTGAATATATTTTGTAGATTGTGGGATAACATAAAGCCTATAACTAAGAATAAGCCTGTCTCCCACCCTTACCTCCTATCACCATTAGCAGGAGTGAAGACAGAGCCCCAGAGAGCCTCCACCCTCCATAACCTCATCTACTTGCTCTCCTGAGGCTTTCATCATTTATCCCAATATATGATACTGTCACCCTAAGAGAGTTGGGACATTTGGGCCACCCTCGCTCATCTCCCAGATTCTAAAATTCCAAAGTAGGCCACCCCACCTCATACCACTGCACTTCTTTTCTGGTGTATGTGTGTTTTAATTCATTATTATATCCTCTTGAGCAGTTTCAGGTTTACAGAAAAATGAGTGGAAAGTAGAGTTTCCAAATACCTGTTACAACTTCCTCCGCATTCCTCTGTTAATAGTTGCTTTAGTGTAGTACATTTGTCATAACTGATGAGCCGGTGTTAATTATTAATAACTGAAGTCCATAGTTTACATTAGACTTCATTCTTTATGTTGTACTTTCTATGGGCTTTGACAAATGTGTAATTATTATATCTATTATTATAGTATAATACTGTTAGCAAACTCCCTTAAAGTGATGATCCATTTGCCTGGTGACCCAAAGCCAAAAATTCAGAAACAAGTTTCAGCTAAACAAACCAAGAATTTTATTGCCTGATAAACAATGGAGAAGAGAGAACTCTTCAGGAAGGAATTCCCTTTTATTTGGGGGACTGGCACATCATGAATTAAGGCTAGAATTAGAGGGTTGGTCCTCCCTGGTAGCTCAAGGGTTAAAGTCTCAGCACTATTAAGCTATCACCAGCCACTGGGGCATAGGTTAGGTCCCAGGCCAGGGAGCTAGCCCACATTGCGCAACAGACATCTCCTATCTCACCCGCTGTTCCTCTCTGCAGTGTATTTCAGTAGATCTGCCTGTTCTGCTCCCCACTCTGTCTCTGGTGAATCCTCTCACCACCCCACACCTCTGGCCTACACCCCAGTTCTTGTATGCATAAGTAAAAAAATCTTAAAAAAAAAAGAATCGTGAGGGTCATGCACAGACGTTCTGGTCTCCTCATGCACCCCACATTCTTGCATATGTCTCCCCTCCCCTCCATGTAGAACACTCAGTCACCATATTGGGAATACGTAGCTGGATCCAGTTCTGTGAGGATGGCTCTTCTATCTCATTCCTGAGAAAAGGTACAGCTTAGTGCAAATATTCTACCTCACAGTTATCATGGTGTGCTCCACCTTCACCCCTTCCTTCTTGCCCCTTCCTTGGAAACCACCAATCCTTTTATTTCATAGATGTGCCTTTTCCAGATTATTTACAATAATGTAGCCTTTCCACTTTGTTTTCTTTCAGTTAATAATATGCATATATTAAAGTGCATTTCTTTTTTCTGCAACACTGTCACCATCTTTGTGTTTATTTGTTTGCCTCTCCACTAGAGTGTCTGCTCTATGAGGGCAGAGATTTTTATGTTTTTTCCTCACTGTATTTCCAGTGCTTAAAGCAGAGCCTGCTGCATAGTAAGTGCTTTGCGCATCCTTGTAGGAAGAACAGCAGGATAAGGAGAGGGAAGGAAGGGAGGAATCACCCAGAGGAACCTGTTAAGAAGCTCTACTTGCTTTTCTTTACCTAAAATCTCTGTTCTCATGAGCTGACACTCTCGTGGTAAGAAATGAACCATTAAAGAAAGAAGAAAATATGTCAGATGGTGATAGCGTTGAAGTAAAAACAAATGGTGATAGGCCTCATGGTGATAAAAGCTATGAAGAAATAAATGTGCCTTAATTTTTTTCAAGGAGGACTAAATGTAGTTCCAAGTTAGTGGTATAAGAATTGGGAAGAATAGTGAACAACCTTCTTTCCTACCCACCGCCTTCTTAAAAAAAAAGCAGAAGTCATTAGCATGCATACCTCATGAGTACATGGGAGATATTCAGGGAAAAGTACATAACTCCTCTGCCCTAGGAGGCCCAAGCCACTAGTTTAAGTACCATCTTCAGCTAAAGACAAAAAAGTGTGGGGACAGTGGGGATGGCATTATGAGAATGTTACCAGGAAACGCTCTGTAAAAGAAAAGTAAGGTTTGTTAGGTCAATTTAATTAGGTGATTTTTCTATCAATAAGATTCCTGAGTCTTCCTTCTCTTCCTGTTACTAAGAGAGAAACACCCTTACAAAAGTATAAGTATAAATTCCCCATACATAAAGCTAAGTTCTATACTATTTTGAGCTTCTCTTACACCTGTTTCTCAAAATGATCCTACGCCTAAGAGGCACATTTTGGGATGGCATATACTGCTACCCTGCCCTTTTGGCTTCTCAGGAGGTTTCACATTCAAGAAGCTGAGTTGGTCTCAGTTTTGTACTAAGTGAAGAGTTAAACTTTTGGTTGTTCAAAACTGTTTGTTTTTTTAATATTTAAAGAGCAGATTTATTAGGGAAAGGGGACAGAAGAATAAAGGACACTTGCATAGACACAAGCGGCAGAAAGAGCTGCCTGTTCACTGTTCTGAGCCTGACCCAAAATATCTGGACCATTTGGTATAGAACATGACAATCTGTATTTGGATGCCATTGGCCCTAGAATTTGAGGACCAGTGGTTTCTGTGATGATACCAATAATTGACTAGTAATTGAAAATTCTTTAATCTGGTTTATCCTCTGCTTTTCTGTCATCACTGCAACAGTTTTATTGAACTCATCTTTGGTTTTATCTCCCTTTAAATGGAGATAATAATGGCCACCTTTATCTACCATTTTAGAAGACACTATTATAATACAAATTAGGCTCTTAAATTATACTTTTGCATTTAAAACAAAAATCAAAACTGGCAGCCCTTCTGCTATGAGTGTGCAAGAAATATGCCATTCCTTCTGATAAGCACTTGGAAAATAATGTCTCTCCTCAAGGAAAGTCAGGGGTTTTTTTGTTGTTTTTTTTTTTAAAAGATTTATTTATTTATACAAGAACTGGGGTACAGGTCAGAAGCGCGGGAAGGTGAGAGGATTCACCAGAGACAGAGTGGGGAGCAGAACAGGCAGATGGACTGAAAACACTGCTGAGGGGAGCAGTGGGCGAGACAGGAGAGATCTGCCACACCATATGGATATCTCCCTGGCCGGCCAGGAATCAAACCCACGCTGCAGAGGCTGCAGACAGCTTCACAGCGCAGGGCTCAACCCGCTGTGCCACCAGGGAGGCCAAAAAGTCAGATTTTTTTAGGCAGATAGCAACAGCTTTAATGAGATTTCTCAGAGGGCCCCAGAACCTAAAAATGTAAGGAACCACTGGTTCGAAGAGTTTTTAAAATGTGGGTGGTATTGAAGTCCATATTTTTTTTTTATTTTTTACATCACTGTTCTTTTTTTTTTTTTTTTAAGATTTTTATTTATTTATGCATACAAGAACTGGGCTACAGGCCAGAGGTGCCGGGAGAGGGGTGAGAGGATTCACCCGAGACAGAGTGGGGAACAGAACAAGCAGACTGACTGAAAGACACTGCTCAGGGGAGCAGCAGGCAAGTCAGGAGAGGTCTGCCTCGCCATGTGGGTTGCTCCCTGGCAGGCCGGGGAACAAACTCGTGCTGCAGAAGGTGCAGATTGCTTCCTAGTGCAGTACTTAACCCCTTGCTCCACCAGGGAGGCCCCCATTCTTCCTTTTTTTTTTTAAAGATTTTATTTATTTATACAAGCACTGGGTACAGTCAGAAGCGCGGGAGGGTGAGAGAATTCACCAGAGCGGGGAACAGAACAGGCAGACTGACGAAGAAATACATTGCTGAGGGGAGCAACAGGCGCAGCAGGAGAGGTCTGTCGTGCCATGTGGGACCCTCGCCAGTGGCCGGGGATCGAACCGGCACTGCAGAGGCTGAGGGCAGCTTCACAGCCTACTGCTAAACCGCTGCGCCACCAGGGGAGGCCCCCCCCATTTTTCATTTTTAAGAATCAATCTGTAAAGACTGTTTTGGTTTCTCATTTTCAGCACCCAGTATTTATTCATTCAACAACTGTTTGTTGAGCATCTGTGCTGTTCTAAGCGTTATTTTCATGAAATAGACTTGAGGGACACATAGGGCCCCTGACTTCATGGGCCTATGAAGATATTTACTAATTTACTTATTAACTTTTAATCTCCTAAATACGTGTTTAGATAGTAGTTTGGAAATTGCAGTGTTTTTTTTTTTATTACTTAAGTAGACCTTTAATGTTGTCTGACTATCATTATTCCTTTTTTCCCTCATCCATTCACTCTCCCACATTGTATGGCTATTTTCTTTTCTTTTTTTTTTTTTTTTTTGGGCAGCCTCACAGCCCAGTGCTCAACCTCTGTGCCACGGGGGAGGCCCATGTATGGCTATTTTCTATCTTCTTCTCAAGCCTCACTCTCAGCTGATGTTGCCTCCTGTTTCACTAAGAGAAAATAAAGCCATCAGAAGAGAATGTCTAGGCTCCTCCTGCCTCACTTACCCTCCTCCCTGCATCTGTGCTCATGTTCTACTTTTTCTTGTTACGACTGTAATGGCCGTACTCTTAGAAGAGAACAAGCCTTCTGTTTGCCCACTGGATTCCATCCCCTTGACCTCCTTCAGGACATCCTTTCTGCTAGATCTTTCTCATTAGCCTACAGACATGCCACAACTATATTTCTCACTTTCTGTTCTCTCTTGAACCCACTCCAGTCAAACTTCACTTCCAGTATGTCAGCTCTGAAATGATAAGCTTCTGGGAAGAAGAAAAGCAGCAAGATGGCTAGAAATAGGAGAATAATGTTTGCAATAGGACACACATCCCATTATTCCTTTTTCTCTTTTAGAAATCGTTTTCTTCTGGGAAAGTCACTCCTAAGGATTCCCCTCTCCCTAACCCCAGCTGGAGCAAGGACATGCGACTCCTCTTTGACCAGTTCATGAAGAAATGTGAAGATGACTCCTGGAAACCTTTATCTTCTTATGCAGCAATCACAACTCAAGATTTCAGAGGCTTTTTTCCTGGTAGGAACAGCTACTCCCACATATCATGACTCCTTAGTACATTTACTTTCTCATCACCTATGAAATTTCTTTCACCCAGCCCCAGTCTTGCAATCCCAGGTACAACTTGAGCCTTATTATCTGCAGAATGTGCACAACCTCCAAATCCACACATATAGACATCCTTTTTTCTGACCACAACCTCTTTCCTTCCAGCTTGCAAGGGCCCCACAGAAATAATTCTTGAGACCTTCAGTTCACGGGCTTCTGCATTCTCATTGTCCCCTTGGCCCTCTTCTGCCTGAACTCTAGGAAAACTCCAGCCCTGGATGAATATGGCCATCTGCCAACCCTTGTTTGTATAGGTCCTCACATAGCTGAGCGTTGCTGGAGAAAATCACCCCACATTGCAGATAAGTTTAGTGGTTGTGATTTTTCATTATTTCTTCCAATCCATGAGTACGGGATATCTTTCCATTTCTTTGTATAGGCTTTGCATCTTTTTTTTTTTTTTTTTTTAAAGGGCAGGTTTATTAGGGAAAGGGACAAAAGAGTAAAAGACACTTGCATAGACACAAGTGGGCAGAAAGAGCTGCCCCGAAAGGGACAGGTTTGCTGAGAGAGGCCTGCATGGTTGCAGGCGGGCGGCCTTGAGGAGAGCTGCCTCCGCTGAGGGAGGTCAGTGAAGAGAAGTCCAGCATGGTACAGGTCACAGGCAGGCAGAAGCTGCTGCCCTGCAGAGGGAGAGAGTTGGTGAAAAGAAGCACCTGCATAGTCACAGGTGGGCAGATGGAGTGCTGCCTCTTCTTTGCATCTTTTAACAGTGTTTTGTAGTTTTCCTTGTGTAGGTCTTTTACCTCCTTCGTTAGGTTTATTCCCAGGTATTTAAAATTTTTTTGGTACAATTGCAAATGGGATGGTTTTTTTAATTTCTTACTCATGAGATTGAGTGTTTGCACATAGGAAGGGTACTGATTTTTGTGTATGGATTTTGTAACCTGCTACTTTACTAAACTGGTTTATTGCTTTAATTAGTTTTTCTGTGGATTTTTTAGCAATCTCTATATAGCGTATATCATCTGCAGATAATGATAGTTTCACTTCTTCTTTCCCTATTTGAATTCCTTTTATGTCTTTCTCTTGCCTAATTGCCCTAGCTAGGACTTCTAGTACTATATTGAAGAGCAGTGGTGAGAGCGGGCATCCTTGTATCTTCTCCAATGTCCTTTTTCAGAGCTGATAGTAATTGTCTAATGTATTTGAAGCTCCCTCATTTGGTGAGTATATATTGAAGGATGTTATGGTTTCTGGTGTGTATTATCCCCTTGACCATTATATAGTACTCTT